GATTTCCTGGCGTTTCAGTCATAGAACTTGCCAAATTGAGAGAGAGAGAGAGAGAGAGAGAGAGAGAGAGAGAGAGAGAGAGGAGAGATTGAGTTACAACTTCTTTCTTGAGATACAGAATCATTACACATCAACCATTTTAGAAAGAACAGTACAGTCCAGGCATGAAGAATTTCGGTGGTTTAACCAGTGTGGCACAAGTAACTCCTGGCAAGGCCAGTACTAAAGATCAGATGTTAATTTCTTAATCCAGGCAGAGTTTCTTCTAATTATTGTTCACAAATCGCATTTCATTTCAATGTGCTGCTTCCTCAGAGAACAACATTTAGTCATTTTTACCTAATACCTCTCTTAGTTAAATTCCTCTAAACCAACAACTGTCGTTTGGTCACATTTAAGTCAGTAGAGCTCTGGAATCTTCTGGAATATACTGGGTAGAGGAAGTGATCACACATGGGTCAGGGGAACCAATTTAAAAATGAAGCACTCCTGAGATGAAATTAGTCCCCAAATTTGATTTTACTCCCAGGAGATTTGTTTTGCTGCTCCTCCCCAGTGCCACTCAAGGGGCCGCATGAGCACATCTTTATGGGGTGTGCTGGAGGAGCAAGAGTAACAACACCCCAGTTCTCTCCCACTTCTGGATTGTATCATATTGACTGCTCTCTCTTCTATCTCCAACCTATATCTCTGATAGTTCATATATGTTCATAAGGTTTTATCCCTGGGAGAAATCCAACTCCCAAAGAGCAGGGTTGAGTCTTCAGAACAAGCAGCCGTTTCTTGAAGAAGAACCGCACAGAAGCAGGAGGCCAGCATTTCCCCGAAGACAGAAAGGTGCATCTCAGCCATTTCTTCCCATCTTGCTCCTCCTCCCACACCGCCCCCCCCCCCTTTTTTTTCTGGACAAAGGAAAATCTCCAACCCTCTTCCACAAGTTCTTATTCACTGAGTGCCCCAATTTTAGAGAAAATAGGATAAAGAAATAGCCAGAGGGCACCACTTTAAGGAGTAGCTGCAGAGGGACTTACTTTGACAGAAAACAAGCCTCAGTTTTCTCTCCCAGCTGTTTAGAAGTGAGGAAATGGAGACAGCAGCAGAGACAATATTTGCCTAAAAACCAGAGGTCTGCAGTTATGCGCAATGTGAAAGGAAGGGCCCAATGGCCTCTGTAAGCCAGGCAACTTACTGTGCTTTTTGGTATGGGACTTTACAGGATGATCTTGCTCCTTTTTCATATCAGGTGACTCTGCTGAAAAAAGAAAAAAAAATGAGTGCCTTAGTTTACCTATTCCCTATAGGTATCCAGTCCACACATTTAGCGAATGTTCATTAACGCCTGCTGCATGCCTGATATCGTTAGGCTGTGTGGTAGTGACAAAACAGATGACGAATGCTAGAGAAAAATAATGCAGGGTAAAAAATGGGGATCAAAGTGTGGAAGTGAGAACAGTTAACAATTTACTAGAAAGTAGTCACAGAAGGCCTCTGTGATAAAAGGACTTTAGGATGTAGGGGAATTGGTCATGCAGAGAATTTGGGGGAGAGCCTCCCATAGATAAGGATAGTGAGCGCAAAGGCCCTGAGGTGTGTTAAGTATTTACACTAAGTAGAAGGAAACCACTGAAACTGAACCAGGGGGCAGAGTGGTGGGAACTGAGGTTCTGATCATTAATGCCTTGCAGGTTTTCAAAGGGCTTCATTCTGCCTCATTCTGAGAGAGAATGGAAGCCATGGAAAGATTTAGGTCATCAAAGGGTGTTTTTATAACATAATACAAAAATGTAAACATTCATAACAAAGAAGGATCACTTTTAAGCCAGAGGAGTGCCATTTTTTGGCATGCAAAGTTACATTTTAATCACCCTGACAAAGGGGCCATTGAGTAGCCTGAGCTCAACACAGAAGGCCACAGTGGACTATGGAAACACAGATTAGTTTAACAAATGACTCTTTATGGCAACCCTTTCACTGTCCCCACAGAGGAGATGACAGAGGTGGATCTATGAAGTGAAAATTCTTCTTTAAAAAAAAGAAACCCACATGTTTTCAGGCATATATGACAGATTGAAAAGTTTAATCGCAGAGAAACAGAGATGAACTCTAGAGACCAAAGGGGAAGGGAGTCATGGAGGGGACAACAGGAGTCTGGATGACACAGTTACCCCGGAGCAACAAGGTCTAGTGTTCTACCAAACAGTTGGATAGATGCAGTGCACAGTGATTTATTATACAGCTTACAAAAATCTAGACCCAAGAGGCTCCCAACTCCAAGATGATAAGTGTTTAAGAGGAGAATATGCTAATGACTGATTTGATCATCACACATTGTACACAGGTATCAAGCTGTTACCGCATACCCCATGAATATGTTCAGTTACTATGGATCAATTAAAACAAAAACAAAAAGCAAATGATTTAGCTCTGTGGTGCGTGTGTGTGTGTGTGTGTGTGTGTCTCCAAGGGCACTTTGAGTATTGTGGGGAGCATAGGGAGGGGTCCATAGCATGCATTTGATAGAGTAGACCATTATTCCAAAAGAATTTATGAACCACGAACCATTCACTTCTAATTAAGATGATTAAGAGGGCTAGGGAATAGCTCAGGGGTAGAAGCCTTACCTAGCATGTGCAAGGAAGGCCCTAGGCCCCCAGCACCACGAAAAGTAAAATGGTAAAGTAAGATAAAATACAACAGTGAAGAAAATAGCTCCTGTTATTGAGCTCTTCCTATGTACCAAGAACAGTACTAAGCACTTTACATGGATCTTCTTATGTCATTCATGCAATAACCACATGAGGAAGATACTATTATGATCCACAGTTTGTACCTATGGAAGATCTGAAAAAAGAAAGAGAGAAATGATTTCTCTACAGTCATACAACCTTTAAGTAGCGCTAGGTGGCAAATACCAATAGTTGGATTCCAGAAGCTTCATTTAAAAGCCCTTTCCAAAATGGGGGCCTGTGCTCAATTACTTTGGGCACAGAACATACTTCTCAAAAGTCTTTCCAGGAGTTAATTCACTTCCACAGTGCCCTCATCAGTAGAAAACTAAATGCCGTGTACGAGTTCAGTTCTGTACTTCTCAGTATGTGGAGACAGCTCATCTAGTGGATCGCCCAGCTGGTCACAATTCAGCATCCCCAGCTATTTCATTAAAAGCCATGGTGGGATGGAGAAGAGGGTTTAAATAGGAGAGAAACTCTCATTCTCGGTACGAATTTCTCTCCTGGTGCTGTCGCCAGTAGGGCCTGTGACCAGTGAGGCCTTCTCTGAAATCCAGAAGGACCAATACATGGAAGGAGCAAGGATGCCTCACCCCCTTCGGCTCACAGGGTGAGGTTGCAACACCCCACCAGGACATGACGACACTGAAATAGGTCTGGCACCCACCCAAGTTCCCCAGTGATGCATCACCCTAACAGGGCCACGTTGTTCTAGAGACAAAGAGTGGCATTTACCCAGCAGGTCACAGGCAAAGCTCATTTTCCAATGAAATCCAGGCGGGAACAGAGCCATGATTTCAGAACCGCCAGGGTTAGATTCAGAAAACCCTAGAGTTTCTCAGCACACTGGGCTCAGCACTGCATGGGTGCCCCAACCTGATACTGGATCTATCATTTGGGGGTTAAGGTCCCTTTGAGAATCAAATGAAAACCTTGGATGTTCTTCCCCAGGAAATGCAAGTTACACTAATAAAATTTTGCCAATCATTTTGGGGTTCTATGGGTCACTTAGAGGTTCATGGACTCTAGGTTAAAAGATCCCAGGTTAGATAAACCATGGGAAAACTTCCTTTGAGATGTCAGTCATTTTCTCAAGCTAGATCTGCCTATAACTTTAGGACACACACACACACACACTCAGTGTTCCATCATTACATGGGAAAATAAGTAATCCAGGGCAAAAAGATGAATTCATTTCTTCCAGTCACTCTTCTGTGAACATGAAAAGGAAGCCATGGAGTCCCTGACCAGACTTAGCTCTAAAGTCTTTTGATCTGTGATCTCACTTTTATATAACTACCACACACACACACACACACACACACACACACACACATACTCATGCACACACACTATCCTCCCTACTGCCACAAAATAAAAGCCAGACCTTTGAAGTAAACCATGTGGTTGAGTGATTCGTTGTTATAAAATAATGGCTTGCTCTGCAGAGGTGGTCCAGCCTGGCTTTCTCTTGCTTCCTTTCCAGACACTTGGGGTCAAGGTCCATGGGGTCCAGGCAGAAGTAACAAGCCCCAAGTTTATGGTAGAAGTGGGAGCACATGTCTTCAGCCTCCCTGCTTCGCATGAAGCAAAGATTAGGCACATTTGCATATGATTCAGCTGTGAGCCATTTCTTGACGGGATATACAAATTTCAATGTTCTAATAGACTGTGCCACCCTAGCTTGAGGCTCAACAAGTCAATAGATAAACACATCAAGCCTGAGTTGGCAGGACTGGCTTGGGGACTATCAGGCAGATCAGAACACTAGTGGCAGCCATTTTATGAAATGGGAAGATGATAGAAAAAAATAAAAACAAAGCCTGCTTCCCCACCTGCACTATCTCAGAGGCCATCAGTTGACACAGAGCCTTGCCTTAGCATAGCTTGAACTTGCATGAAAACATAGAAAGATGTTCAGCTGCACCCATTTTTATAGGAGCTTGAAATTAAAAGACTGGGGCAGATGGCAAAGGTCTTTGGGGGCATTCTGGTCCCATCTAGTAGAAACTAAAATATTTTTGAAGGAACTGACTCATATAAAGTTGCAATTAATGTCTACCAGAGCTAAAACTCCAAAGAATCCACCAAGTGCTGACACTGAATTGATTCTTTAGAGAATAACTCTGATAAAAGGCTTAGATTATTTATCTTATTTTCTAGCTTGTTAAGATCACAGGATGGAAATGGGGGACAGGAAGACAAGGATCCAGGTTGGGGGGCAAAGAAAATCAAATTCATAAAGTTAGATTTAAGAACTATCAAAAAATATAGTAGAAAGATACAGGAGGCATTGCCTTCCTTTTTACTATGAATATGCAAGTGTAATCTGCTGCCTTAAGACCCTACTGATTCTGAGATTCTAGAAGGTCTAAGTCAAAACAGACAAAAGGAAAGAAGACCTGACTGTGAGGTGGTAGTGCTGTAATTTCCTGGGGAGCCGGAGCACCTTCAGAACCCCCAAGGCTCAAGAAAGAGCTGTTTCAGCTTTATTCTTACTTAGACTCTTTTGCCACAAGTCAAAGACCCAACAGGAAGAACCTGGAAGGTGGCACCACAGGAAGTTAGAGAGAAAATCAGAGGGTGACTCAGGCGGTTTCCTCAGCCCTGAAGCCCATAGTCTTGCCTGAGTGGCAACAATTGCCCCAGAAAATGACCCAGATGGCCTGTTCCTCCAGAGTGGCAGATACACTGGTGCCTTTCCAGCGCTGGCCCTGCTTTCTGATATCAACAAATCCCTTCAAATGATACACACTAAGGGCTTGGAGGGAGGAAGAAAGACAGAAATGAACTAATTGCCCTCTGGTCTCGACCTCAATTCTTTAACACTGGCTCCCAGCCCTGTCTTGTTCAAGGGGCTTGACCCAAACAAAACTTCAAACTAAACACTTTCATGATTTCAGTTCACAAAACCACACATGCAACAGAAGCAAAAGAAGAGGAAGGGCTGCCAAGTCCATGCTTTCTTTCACACTGACCTCGCTAGCTCCCAGTTCTGACACTGCCTCAAAGTCAATGCTTAGAGAAGAGCACTTCTCCTGCAACTGATACCTGGGCTCCATTTCATAGACCCAAAGTGATCCAGAAACATGAACCCAGGTCAAGAGCCAACACAAAGTCTTCAGCTAATTCTTATAGTATACGTATGTGTGTATCTATTTTCTGAAAACCACTCTCCAAGATCCCCAGTGTTATAGCCTCAACCAAGGATCAGGGATAGCCCTCAGCTGCCTTCAGTCAAAACCGTGCAACTAATGTGAATATAATTCACACAAGGCAGGTTCTCTGATTGATTAGAGTGCCTATGAGCCATTAATGTTAGGGTTAAAAACAGGAAAAAAAATAGTATAGGTGCAGGGCTTTCCAGAATTTTTAGTGGTTACTGCAGACCATGCCCACAGGGTCCCAGATGTTTGAATTCTACTGTTCTCTAAAGCCAAATGCTGTTTGAAATGAAAGTTTAGAATGCAACTAAAAATTAAATCTAACCTTCCAAATAATTTTACCAAGTTTATCCCCCAAGCAAATTTTTGTTAAACAGAGAAGAAAGCATGAGGAACTTTTGTTGTCTTAAGAGAGTATCTTGTTTCCCATAAGAGAAATACTTCTAGAGGAATCTAGGCTAATGTCTTTGATATATACATACTGCTCAGAAGTGCAAACTATTCCTGTACACAACTCAATTCTGGCTTTTTAATGGAAACATTCCAGCAAGGCAGAATTGTGGGGCATTGGGAATTCTCATTAATTCTTAGTAACCACAGGCATGAAGCATACCCAGCCCATGTCAGGACAACTTACCAACTGGAAGGTGACTGGAGGTTGTCATGGAGATCTGGGCCCGGCAGAAAGTTTTGCTGTCCAACAGATCTGTGGCAATGAAAAGGGAAATGACATTAAGAGCCCCCTCTTGATGGCACAACATCACAGCAGTGCAACAATGTAAATAAAAGGGCTTTCAGAGCCAGGGAGGTAGTTACCTACTGTGCTACCATAGTTGGGGTCGTATAGGTAGTTTTCTTCTTTCCAGGCGTTCATGATGGAAGGATCTACAAAGAATAGAGAATGAGGAAAGTCAACAGTTGTTGGCTCCAGGGTGAAGCATCTGCTTATCAAGGACACCCGGGTAGGAAGAGGCCTCCAAGAGAAGGGACGAGACTCTGCTTCAGCTCCTTGCTACTTTATAACAACGTCAGCCTGATTTCTTCAGGTGGAATGGCTTTGTGATACCCTAAGCTTGTGATCCATACCCCTTCCATCTTCAGGGAAGCGAGAGAGGTTGCACCTGTAGAATCCTGTTCTAGACCAATGCTTCGCTTTTCTCCAGCCTGGCTCAATCTTGCCTGACACCCTAGCATATAGTCACTAGAATATTTTTAGGGTGGAGTGGAGGGAAACCCTTTTTAGGGATGAAAAAAATGTCCCTATATAAGAAAGGATTAATGAGTTTCTTTCCTCCTAGGGGAACTGATGAGGTTTCTTTCAGAAAAGATCTCACCAGCTATATCACAGTTGAAATTCAGAGTGCCTCCCCTTAAGTCAGAGGACAGCTACTGCCCTCCAGGTTTTCTCCAATTAGCTTAAGGGGTGACATTAAATCCTCAAAACCCAGGAGAAGGGGAAAGATTGTTAACAAATCAAACAAATGGTTTTTACAAGTGGGCCCTTTGAGGCAGAACTCGCCTCCTCACTTGCTGCTCCTGTGTGCTGTGGAAGCACGTCTCACTTGGACTACTCTTCAGATTTCAGATTGGAAGGAAACTCCCTTCCACCCACCCCAAGTGAGGTCTGACTCCCACACAGCCTCCAGATCCAGGCAGATCTCCAACATAAGCATTGTTTTTTCTGGCTGGTGAAGAGCCTAAAGCTTTCACCTTGTCCCCTCCCCCCAAAAAACAAGCCTGTCTCCCCTTTGCCCCCAATCTGGGCCGCCTCACTCTCCCTCCTGCCAAAGTTCTGAATGTGAGGGCCAGGTGGTAAGCCACTGGCCGAGCTCAATTTTGTTTTTATAGCATAAATGGTATAAAGCCTGACTCACTGGCTAAGTCCTCCTGTTTACGACATAGGGATTTAGCTGGTATTTTAACTCATAGATACGTGTTTGGACACCCCAAGCCCAATCTCTTGAGGTTACACCCTCTGTCCTTGTTGGGTCACCTCATACACCTGTTGCTGTCTCTAAAAACAAATTGAACGAAAGAGGTTTGGGGGTGTTGGCCCCTCTGTGAGCCTCTTCTCCCCTCCTCTCTGGGTGGACCTCCTTCTCCACCCTTGAGCTCGGCTTTTCTGAACTGGCAACACAAGAATGTCCAGATGGTCAAGGAGGATCATCAAGTTCTCTGGGACCTCTCCAATCTCAGCCTGGCTCCTCCACTGTTACTATCTGCAAGGTCAAGGCCATCCTCTTAGCCAAATCCTGATCTGTCTCCAGGGCTAGGGAAGGCCTGCAAAACACAGTCCATCTAGGTAACCCATCCCCCGATGTCCAAGTTGAAGGACAGGACTAGGAAAGCCTAATTAACATGCTTAGCAGCTACATTTTTTCTTTAATGATGGTAGACCAGCCCCCTTATAAAAGAGTAAATAACTGCATTGGCTAATTTTGGTGTCAAATGAGTCACAAATCACCCCCAGGTCAAATTCTGTCCTTGGTGACTGGCACGAAACCCTCAGGGAGGCCTGAGGCAAACTTGGTCAGCCCACGTGGCTTATAATCTCACTGATGTGGACACAGGGAGTGACCTAGGAGCAGTGGCACCCGCACAGTTTTCTCATGGCCATGTCTTTGAGGAGACAACCTCCATAAGAGAGATTTAGGACAGAGGAAAGGGAACAAATATGAATGTATAGGGCTGGAGAGATGGCTCTGTGGTTAAGAGCACTGACTGTTCTTATAGAGGACCCAGTTTGATTCCCAGCACCCATATGGCAGCTGACAACCGTTTGTAACTCCAACTGTAAATCCAGGGGATCCAATGCCTTCTAACCTCCATGGGCATGTCATGACAGGGTGCACTTACACGCATGGAGGCAATACACTCATACATATAAAAAAATAATAATTTTTTAAATGAATGTATACATTAGGAGTCTGTAGACTGTTAAGAGCTCAGAATAGGATATTTCAAGTAGGAAAATCCTTAAGACAGGGGTTGGCTGCCTTTGGACATCCCTACAGAAACTCACTATAGTCCAGAAACTATGCTGCCTGCAACATCAAGACAGTAGCTCCCTCCTTGTGAAATTCAGTCCCATCTAGGTGGAAGAATGGTGAGTCTTTCTCTTCTCTCACCTTGCTCTTCCAGACTTTGCCTTACTCTTTCTGGAAAGGAGGCTCACCTTAGATTTTGTATTTACCCAGCTCCTGGCCAGGGATCTGGGTGATACACTGATTGGTAGAAAGAAACAGATATGTGCTGGCTAAAGGCAGGCTCACCACCAGTCTATATGTCAGACATAGTTGGAGGCTGCTGGTTCTAAGAGAGAGGCCCTAGTCATGGCAGGGTGACCCGCTGGAGACAGACAAGAAAGTGACCTCCCTGAGTGCCCTGCCAAATCAGCTCACGTGGTCTATGGTGCTCCCTCCCAAATGTTCTTCCCAAGGCTCTGCTCGGCCAAGTTGGCTCCCTTTGCCTCTCCCCACTCACCGGTTTGTTCAGTCTTGACAATGACATTGTGTGTGGACTGGAACAAGTCACTGCTGCACTGGCCTGTGAAGGACAGACAGTAAAGTCAGAAAGAGTACAGAAAGCATCAAAACTTAACACTTCAATAGGGACAAAACTGGCTTCTTTGAGGAGCTTCTAGTTGCTTGTACAAGGACACCCAGGTTTGCCTGTGGGCAGCTTCCCACCCAGCCTTGGCACCATTCCTGGTCCCACAGAGTTTGTAGTCCAGGGCACCCACATCAGAAGGGTTATTTGGTGATAGAAGGAAGGCATCCCATATGGCAGGTATAGAACATCACAAATCAGACCAGTTTCTCCATTACTAGCTGTAAGACATCTGCCTTCCATGGTCTCAGTTTCCTAGTCTGTAAACTTAGGGGATCAAGCTAGAGTTATGCATATGACCTCTCTGGTACTTTCCCATACCAGAACCTCAGGTGAGATTAAAGTGAAAATGTAGGAAAAAGCATTTTAACTTTACTAGATCTTGACAAATTTGATCAAATCTATCTTGAATAGGCACATCTGGATAAAACAGTTTTCTTCAGCACTTACATAAGTGATCCATACCACATGCCCTCCTATTTGTTTATAGTTCCTCTTGAGTATGATGTATAAAAGTACAAATGTGTGGGTGAGTCTAGAATGATTTTCTTCACAGAGATTATCAATATTTCATATTTCTGACCTTCAGGCTTCCCATCTGTAAAATGGGTACAATATTTTGCCATAAGTCATTCAATGAATCAATTCACTCAGACTACCTAGTATAAGAAAACAGAATGTCTACAAAAATGAAAACAACAAAACCAAGATGAGAATTCTGACCAGTTGGCACTCAGAGGCAAGAGCAGCAAGACCAAACAAGTCATGAAAGGTCAAAGATGACCACTGGACCTCCCTGCCTCAGGCCTTAATCAGAGACTCTTAAAGGCGTGCATTAATTGAAGGTAGTGAGATACATATTTTTAATTCTTCAAGTGTAACTCTGCTCTTCCTGAATATTCCTGGGAGCTATTTATAGAGCCTTGTTTGGTCTGATTCTTGTAAAAGAAAAATGAGCAACTACCACTGTCAGATGGATAGGAAGAAGGGAGATCCAGGTGCTAAATGAGCTCATCCAAAATGGCTGCCACAGCTGTCAGCACCACAGCAGACTCCCTGGTCCTCCCTGTTGCACATGGCAGCCGTGGGTGTTCCTGAAGGACACACTTCCTGAACCCTGGGTACTTGCCCAAACATGGGTTCTGCTGAGATATAAATGCCCTATTCAGGGTGGACTGGCTGGCTCTTTGTTGTTAAATATTCCTTGTTTTCAAGATTCAGGGAGCTAGAACTTTACCTCTACTCACAGGGCAAGCTTATGCTAGTACCAGTGACCATCTACAGGATAAGTCATCTGACCTACCAGGTCTTTGAGTATGGGGTGTGTGTGTGTGTGTGTGTGTGTGTGTGTGTGTGTGTGTGTATGTGTGTGTGTGTGTGTGTAAGTGTAAACTGTCACCATGGACAATTTTCAAGATGGCTCTCAATGTGCTAGGTAAGACCTGAGGAGAAGTCATTGAGGTTTTAGGGCAATTATTCAGAAATCACTGCTGAAACAGCCCACATGTATCCAGACCATTCATTCTAACTTTTTTTAAATTCTTTTTTTTAAAGCTACAGACCTTTTAAAAATCCACACAAAAATGTGATCCTTCTCCCCTCTCAAACACACAGACCAATTTCACATGTCTTCTTAAATACCTTAGACTCCCATTTTAAGAACCTGGGTCTAGGCTGGGTATGCTGGTACACTCCTGTAATTCTAGCATTTTGGAGACTAAGGAGGAGGATTTTGAGTTCAAGCCCAGCTACATAACAACATAGCAAGACCCTGTCTCAAAAAAAAAATTTTAAATAGGTCTACAAGATTCTTTTCTTTCATTTTTTTTATTGTTACTGATCTTTAACAAGCAAATAGTTAGGAATTACTGTGTTAGCAAGGGTAAAGGAAACGTTGTCTAGCTACAACAAGTGTATGTGAATTACCAGCCCAGGCATATATCACTAAAAACAAATGGAGCCATAAGAAGAGAACTGAATTACATGGGTGTTTATGGAGATTAGACCCACTTCCACCCTGAGCTTTGCTCCTGTCCTCTCATCTCCCTTCTACCTCGCTGTCTTGAGAAATGGTACTTTGGAGGTATCACCCCTGATGAGGAGCACAGGCAGCTGCAGAGCTTCTCACCATTCCACTTGAGATGCTGTAAGTTGCTGTAGAGCAGCTGCCCAGCAGAGCCCGCCGCTCGTGTGAACTCCTGCAGGCTCATACTGCACAGGTGCTCCCCACTGATGTCGAACTCCTGGAAAGGGATGCAACTAGCGTCCAGCTGGTTGGTGTCCAGAAGGTGCTGCAGCCATTCCCACACCTGGTACTTGGTCCAGTACTGAGGGTGGATCTCATGCCACTGGCTTCCAAAAAACCCACTGGAAACTGCAAAATAGGATGTGACAGTATGAGTGGCTCCGGCTAGTTCCTGGGCTTAGACTCAGACACAAGGCTCTGTTGGCTGCTGGATATAATGAGGAACACAAGCATAGCCCCGGACCTGTGGGCATAATCACGAGTGCTGAACACAAAATGAGCTCTGGGTAGCAGGTGCCCAACATGGGGAGGGGTCGCCCAATCATGGCTGGTCATCTTCATGTTCTTCCTAGCGAGTCACTCATTCCTGAGTACTGGATAGCACCAGGGACCTGAAGGACTCTGAGGTCACTTCCCACACCAACCCCAAAGAAACACAAAAGCGAAAATATTCCTATGGTTTCAGCAACGATAGTCACCCCTTGCTACCCAGAGGGAATTGGTCCAGAACCCCTCATGGATACCAAAATCCTCACTCTTACACATTTTACATAAAATGCCGTATTTGCATATAAACCACACTTCTTCCTATATATTTTTAATTATCTCTAGATTACTTGGAATCCCTAATACAAGTAAATAGTTTCATGCTGAAGAAATGACAAGAAAAAAGTCTGTATTTTCTCAGAACAGACACATTTTTCTTTCTTTGTGTATATATGGTGTATATATGCATGCACATGTTTGTGATTAGGTGTGCGGAGGCCAGAAATATACATGTGCTGTCTTCCTCCATAGTTCTCCCTCTTATTTTTTGAGACAAGGTCTCTTCACTGAACCAGAAGCTCACTGATTTGCCTAGACTGGCTGGCCATAAGCTCCGGAATCTACCTGTCTCTGCCCCTCCGGTGCTAGGGTTACAGATGCAAACCATTACACCATGCTTTTATATGGGGACTGGGGATCTGAACTCAGATCGTTGTGTTTGCACAGCGAGCATTTTACCCATGGTGCCATCTCCCTGGCACCCAAGTGTATTGTTTTAAATCTGGAATTGGTTGAATCTGTAGATGCAGAATCCCAGGATGCAAAGGGATGACCATAGTTCTCTCTCCCACCCCATTTACACACACACACACACACACACACACACACACCAAACTCAGACTATTTTCAACTGAAGATGAGGCCCAAAATTAAGCTTCCTTTTTCTCTGATGGCTTTGCTACTCTCCCAAAATTGTACAGACTATTCATCTGCCAATTATGCTGATGTCCTATTACCATTGACCGACAATTACAGCTGCTCCATTGTCACTTCCCCACTCAACTTTCTTCAGTAATTCTCCATTATCCACTGAAATTAGATATAAAACTGGCAAAGCAGGCATTGGAACGCTTCGCTAGCTCCTTTTGAAGAGACCTATGTCTTCTGGTTTTTTTTTTCTTCTGGGCAGTTCTTCCAGGCCTGTTTGTAGTCTACCTTTTACTGTTATTGAATTCCTACCACTCTTTCCAACACAGAAATTTGTAGAGCCATCACTGCTTTCTCCAACTTACTTCAAGTTCGGAATCTCCAGGGAAAATGTCGAGTTTCTCGCAGTGCCGCCTGCTGTAGTCTGCTTATCTTTATAGATCACTAAGTTCTGGCTTATTCTCCTTTGTAAACATTATGTTCAAGGCCATGGACTTGGTCTTATTCATTTTCACATAGCCTTTATAAAAACTACTTTGGCAACCTTGTCAGAAGCTCACTACATGTTCAATATGTTTCAATTTTGGCTGAAGAACAAATAATGCAGGAATATAGAAGAATTGTGAGGTATATTCCCAAGATTATTCAGATACCAGGGAAGAAGTGAAGTGCATCCCAGTATATGAAGGTTGCCGAAGTGATTGTGTGCTAGCTTTCGATGTGTAACTCTCTCATGCTCACTTTAAGAAAGCACCACATAGTTGGCCCAAAGGCATGGGGACTGGAGACAAGAGCCAGCCTCTGGAACCATGTCACAGGGCTGGGGAACCTCACAGCCTTTTGAAAACAGAGATCAAAGAGAAGAGCTCTCTTCCAAAAAAAGTGAAGTACAGGGACTGGAGAGGTGGCTCAGTGGTTGGGAGCACAGACTGCTCTTGCAGAGGACCCGGGGTTCGATTCCCAGCACCCACATGGCGGCTGACAGCCATCCATAACTCCAGTTCCAAGGGATTGGATGGCTTTTTCTGACTTACACAGGCAATGCACAACACAGGCGCACTTACACACATGCAGTCAATACACTCATACACGTAAAATAAAAATAATAAATAAAAAAAAAAAAAACGTGAAACACAAAGCCAAGGAGCAGACACTTTGCATCCCAGCAAGCTAAAGCAGAGGAAAGGTAACTGAATGCAACATGGACTCAAGAAATGAACCACTGTCACATGGCTTTTCCTGAGAAGATATAAACAAATATCTCTTCACCCCAGATAGGGCACCAACAACAGAACAAAGAAACAATACCACCCAAGTCTAGCTTGGCGAATCACTGAGTTTAACTGAGCTTGCTTACAGAACACGGGTGAGATGTTACTTGTAGGACTGTGGGGAACTCCAAACAGCTGTACCACCAAAGAGTCTCCTTCAACCCACCCATCAGTTGTCAAGTGCTTCTATATCTCCATGGGGTCTTGTGCACCTTGTGAATTCCCCTTCCACAGAGCAATATGAGTAAGTCCCATCTTATGAGGGTCTCCTTTGAATAACCACAGAGCCATGCCCAGAGGACAGTATTCTATGAAACTATGGAGGAAATGTATTTAGAAGGAAACTACGCCTTAACTGTTCCTTCAAAATTATACTAGCTCAGTACTCAAAACTTCAGTGTTGCTGGAATTACTGGAGACTATGGCTCAACTGTGGATTCTGATCCAGTAGGTCTGGAATGAGGCCTAAATGTCTACTTTCCTAGCAAGCTTCACCATGGTGGTGCCACTGCTGGACTGTGGAATGAGAGGGAGAGTCAAGGCTCCATTCCCATAATGCCCATGACCTAACTCTCCATGCTCCCAGGTGAGGGGCAGAAAGGGGAAAAGTTTGTATACAATCCCTCTTTTCTTACCCTTCAGAATGCTGCCTTTGTTTCCAGACCTCAGAAGCACAAGAACAGGAGATCAAGATCATTTAGAGCTTAAAAGTAACTGTCACATGCCTTTAATCCCAGCACTTGGGAGGCAGAGGCAGGCGGATCTTTGTAAGTTCGAGGCCAGCCTGGTCTACATAGTGAGTTCCAGGACAGCTGAGGCTACAAGGAGACCCTGTCTCAAAAAAGACAAAAAAAAAAAAGTGACTGTCGTTGATATCTACCACTCTCAGGATGAGCTTTATTTTGAAACAATTGCAGCCCTACAGCTCCCTCCTATAGGGGAAGCTTAGGAGGGATGGAGGGTAAGGACTGGAAAAATGTAGTCTGAAAATTTAGGTATATAGAAATATCTCCAAATACACAAGGTTTATACTGGATATTTCCATGCCCCTATTATTATTTTTATTATTATAATTATGTCTCACACATGCAGCTGGTTAAGGGTGGGAAGCAGTTATTGTTTTTTCAATCTCACAAATCTGATTGCTTTTTCCTAAAATAATGAGTTGCTCTAATAGTGCAGCTCTGGATTTGCCAAGAATAGGCAGCAATTTTCAATATCCTACTGATAGGCCTGGGATCCTCTCTCCTGCGTACTTAATGTAAGGCCAACTAAAAGCAGTTTCTGATACTCTGTTCAAATTTGGGAGAGGAGAGTCAGAGACTCTCCTGAAGTGATCTGGGGGAAGATGCCTCCTCTGTCAGAGAGCCCATTAGATTTTCTTCTTTCAGGAAAACACTGAAAACCCAGGGAGTTCTGTTCTCTGTCACTCAGCTGACTTCCCCATCCCCTTCAGTACTGATGAAAAGCAGGGTCTTCTTCGGAGGCTCTTCAGCAAAAGAAACAAAACTACCATCCGAATTCTACTCTCTGCTAAGTCTATCACTTCAGTTTTCTCCAAAGCAAATAGTAAAAAGGATGTTTTGGGGATGCCAAGACTTCCTGCTCTCTTTGGGAGCCTCTTTCTAAGTCCCCACAGCAAGTTCACCGCCTGCCACAGAATATGTAACTGTCCAGAAAGGCCAGCAGTTTGATGAGACAAGTAATCTAATACAGGAAGGCCACCTGTTCATGCTTCCTGCCACGCCTGGCTGGGATTCCAAATTCAAAGAGTTGGAGTGCCACGTGGATCTGTCGCTTCAGGGAGAATATTACCCTCCACTGCTGTCTCTCAAAACTCTCCTCGCTAACAGGACAGATCCACGTGTCAAGGTAAACAAGAGCAGCAGAGTCTCTGGTCAGGAAATCAGCAACAGGTGAGGGGCTCACTGAGCCCCAGTGCTTCTTAAATCCAGAGGTGTTGGACACCCAGCAGCCTGGCTCTGCTGAACGCCTTCAAAGTGAGATGTGGACCTTTCATTCAGTTTTTGTTGTAAGCCGCAAGCTGTATCACCAAACCTGACCTACAAGCCACCAGATCTTCCCACTTTTAGCCCGTATATTCTAAAGTAAAGCACTGAAGACAAGACCTGGTTCCCTGATTCATTTCTTTCCCTTTTACACGAAAAGTACTGGAAAATGAGCTAAAAAGTTTAACCTGTTATAATCCCCTCCACTTTAACTCCATGTCCATGCATTGGGGGGTGTGTGTGTGTGTGTGTGTGTGTGTGTGTGTGTGTGTGTGTGTAAGAGAGAGAGAGAGAAAGAGGCAAGAGAGAGATTGAGATTGAGACTTGTCATCTGTTGTCATCTGTTGAATAAATTCTGTATTCTTCAGGCATCAAGATGGAAACGGAGTTAGACCAAGAGAAGATGCAGGCAGGGGCAATGCCACCCACAATGCCACGGAGCCCTTACCATTGCACGTGGGGTAGCTGTCCGTCCAGGCTGGCTGCTGGTGAAGGAGGTTGTTGCCTGGATTGAGATTCATTACACCACTTCCTTCCAGAATCATGATCTGCAAAGGATCAAATAGCCATTCAATCAGTGCCTTTTAAACACGCATCACTAAAAAGTGCAGATCATGGAGTTAATTTAGGAAAGGAGAGGGGAGAGAGAGAGAGAGAAAAAGAGAGAGAGAGAGAGAGAGAGAGAGAGAGAGAGAGGTGTCCTTCTGCCCATTGCCACAGCCCTTTCGATAAAAACAAAACTCATGGCAATTAAAATTTTCCAGGTTCAACTTTCATATGCATGAGGCAAGTTTTTACAGCCACCCATTCATAAATGAATAATCTCTGATCAGACTCAAAGCAGGGAGGAAAATGCAATACTTGCTCCCAGGGCAAGTCTGGCTAGAATCCAAGTTTTTCAGAAAAGTGAAAATGCGAAAGAGATTTTATTTAAAGTGGAATTTCAGCTGATGGAACTGCAGACCCGGCACCTATGTGAGAACTCAGCTGAAATCGGACATTCGTGGGGCCCCAACACAAGTGGCCCCCACACCAGAAGACCCCCTAGAAGGGTTCCTCAGTGCTGATACTTTCTTGAGATGGACAGGTCATGTGAGGACAGGCTGTGAGGGCCTCCATCATATTTTATAGTGCCCCTTACGTCTTTTAAAGGCTATGGAATAAGATTAGGAATCATTTGGTTTCTATAACAGACACTTCTTTAGGTTAAAGAAAATTGCATTTTTGCTTTCTTCTAAAAAGTTATGGCAAGTTTTCCTTCTGCCAAAGCCCTGGAGAATTCAACAGACTTTTAAACCACCCTCAAGATGACTTCCTCGGGTTCTTAGTTCTGGAACTCAGAACAGCTTTCATTCATAGCCTGCCTGGAACTTTCAAACGATGTAAAAGTTTTACACCTCAGAAGAAATTCCTAGCATTTATGATGTGCCTTCCCCCAAGCTGGACACCCTCCACACTGTAGGTCAGAGCCCGAGGGATGTATGCAATCAGAGGGAGGGCAGGCTTTTTCTAGAAGCCTAGTGAGCATTACTCAGAGGCTGTAAAAGTCACTCGCTCTTTATAAAACATTAAGGTGTGGATAGCCACAGATCATGAAATTTGTTTCTGCCTATTTAGGGGAAATTTTGCATCCTCAGGTGTCACCCGTGTCCACAGATTGGAATTGCTCCCTCAGTGTAATCCCAGCCTACACACACACACACACACACACACACACACACACACACACACATCTCTAATTGAGCTTTGGCTCCTCTGGTTCTAAGAACCTGAAGGGGAAGAAGAAGGCCCTGGGATAGCACATGTACGTTCATATATTCATTTATTCAACAAATATTTATCGGCCTGATGAAGGGCTGAGCTCTGTTATAGGTGCTGGGAACAGGGTAGTGATTAGGGGTTGGACTGGACTAGACACCATTTTTGACAGTTTTTGTCATCCTCACACTTGCTTGGTAAACAATTAGGCTTGGACCCATCACAAATGGAAAGTGAAGAAGGAAATGGCAGGGTAGAAATGGCAGAGAATTCAGTTAGTGAAGGGCACCCTGGGCGGGAGCAGAAGATCGCTAGAATCTCTCCTGGTACCTGTATCAGAACCTTGAAGCCAGGAGAGCAGGTTCCTCCAAGCTCTCCCACTTACTAGCTACAGTAAGTGCTAACTCATACAGACTACCGAACCTCTCTGAACCCCATGTTCCTCCTATGTAAAATGCAGGTGAATACATCTAGCCTGGACACTGGTTAGAGATCAAACATGTTTCTATACTTAGAGCACTTGGCACAAAGTAGGTTATGATTAAGTAAAACACAAGTGCAGAAAGTCATCACCTCTCTGGGTAACCTGAACCCAAAAACAATCCCGGTCCTCCAATCCTCAATCTGAAAACTTAAAGGTAACATTGATTCTTAAGTTCCCATCTAAGATTCTCTTTCATCCTCACCTTCAGAGAAGGAAAACCACCCCAGGTCAAACCTTTCTTTCTTTCATACGATAACAGAAGCATGTTCCCAGCCCAGCTTTCTAGGGCAATTTTCCTAAGCTGAGAAATCAGTCTGGGGACTTCAAGGCAAAAGAAAATCTCCAAGTTCCAGAAGGTGGGGAAGGAGAGGGCCCAACCCGGGCTCTTGTTTGCTCAAGGATGGGCTTCTTCCTTGCCAGCATTTGCTCAACCACAAGCAGTGGAAAGGTTACTGTTTAACCCTGAGAGGGCTGAAGCTCAGAGCCCAGCCTTGGTGGAGTCCTGCAGGCTCAGAGGACAGGCAGGAAAAGGCTTCCTGACTATTGGCTCCAAGGACTGACCTGCAGGGCTGCTTCTGAGTGCCCAGGTCTGTGGAAAAAAGACATGTTGGGTCCAGTAAGACCCTTCCCTTCAGCTAGCTCAGGGATTAGTTCCTTACTTCCTAAGAGATGGCAGATGGTGTAGGGACTAGCCCCATTCTTTTGAGTTGAGCAAGAGGCTGAAACTCTAATCTCCCTGCACACTGAGGATGACCCTGAGCTACATCTAACTGGCCTTAAATTTCCTGATCCTCACTTTCCTCGGCTGTGAAATGGGCACATCACCAAACTCAAAGTCTTAAAAGTATCACCCAAGACTATCTATGTCAAAAACTTAGTGGGTAATAATATTTTTGTTTCTTTGTCTTTTATTATTTTTGTTTTGTTTTGTTTTTTGAGACAGGGTCTCCCTGTAACCCCAGAGGGCCTAGAATTGCTACATAGACCCGGGTGGCCTCTATCTCACAGAGATTCGCCTGCTTCTGCATTCTGAGTGCTGGGATTAAAGTTGTGTCCTACCATGCTTGGCCCAAGAAGAATCTTTTTAAAAAGAATTTGGTAAGTATCTCAGGAAGTTTCTCTGCTTGTGACCAAGTCCTTTTCCTTGGGGAAGGTATCATTTCTCAACATGATCTCCTGGAAGCTTGCAGAACTATTCCCAACTCATAGAGAAGCCTTTAGGACTGCAGGGTCTCAGCTGCTCTGTCACCTCCCACTCCGTCCTCACCACCTTCCCAAGCCCTTTTCCCTGCTGGTTACCCCTTTCCAGGGGAAAGCAGCCAGCAAGCATAGTGAGGGGCCCTTTTTACAGGGCCCATTAAATGGTTACCACTCATAAAAGAGTTTATGTGGCTTAACCCTTAGTGAGTCAGAGTTCATTGGAGCTCCCCCAGGCTTGTGAGCAGCGATAGTCTGGGACCCTGAAGGAAGCCACCGGGAGCCACAGGAAGACACCTTGGGTGGGCTAGGCTAGCCAAGGCTTTCAGCAAAGTCCTTCCCTCTCCCAGGCTCAGTATTTCAAATATAAAATGTAGGCATTTGTCATCCAACAGCCTCTCAGGATGGTTGAGAAGATCAAATGAGATAATGGATAATAAATGTGCCTTGAGAACTATAAAAAAAACCCTTTTATAGTCAATGTACCCACACCCCCATATGCTAATACAGACTTTCCATGCTCTATACTGATTGCTTTATAGGGTATGAAAATCTACCTTTTTAATTAAAAAGGACAAGGATTACTAGGTGCTATGTTTTCAGCTCCCTACTTTTCTTTCAGCATAGCATTCCTTTAAAATAAACAGTATCCAATATGTGAGATAGAGGAATCTGCCAACCCCACCTAGGTTCCAGGCACCATCTCTCAGTCGAGTGACCTTCGATCTGTTCCTCTTTCTGAGTCTCAGTTTCTTCACCGGTTTAAACAGGAGATGTTGGGGACGAGTGGGGAGGGAAGCAAGGTACTCAGATTTACTCTAAGCTTAGAGCTGTTCTGAGGGATAAATAATACAATGGGTTTAGAAGTGTCTAGTTTAGTAATTGGTGAGAACATGCGTACACACACACACACACACACTTAATGACATGATTTTTAAAAATGATTTTTAAAATAACAGGACTTTATTCATTTTATGACTGAACAATACTTCATCATGTGTATGTGCTACATTTCCTTTGCCAGTTCTATGGACACTTTCATTGATTCCATGTCTTGAAATAGTATAAGTTGTAATAGTACAAGCAGAGTTAGAAAATTCTTTACTGTGGGGGTTGTCCTTTAAAGGAAGGGTGTCCAGTAGCATCTATGGCCTCTAACCACTGTATGCCAGATGTCAGTAGCTACCCCCAACACACACCTGTGTATCCCCTGGGGCCAAATCACTCCTGGTAAGGAATGGTGGCTCAAAGTAAAGCTTGTGGCAGCAACATCAGGGGCTGTTGGTGTGGCAACCTTGGGCTGTCCCTCAGCTTTTCTAAGCTGTGATTTCCTTTCCCAGGAAGCAGACAGCATCGGTACTGACCACACAGGCATGCTGGGGATTAAACATGCTAGGGACTAGTGAGCACACAGCACAGTGCCTGGCACACACAGAGCCATTGCCTAATCAGTGGTTTAGGAAATAGACTCGGTATCGGAGCCACTTCCATCTGTTCCTGGGTGGTATTTATTCTAAATATAGACTATAGATTGTTAATTGGACTATTAAAAACTACATTACAATAAGTTAAATTTTATTTCAAACCCAAAGAGTAAAAGAAAAATGGATCATGAAGTTTTTTTAATGCAGTCTCTTACACCCTCTTCAAGGGTATTTGGCTCTGTGCCCTCATTGATGCTCCAGATTTTCCCATTTACCCAAAGCATTACCCCTTTGTGTAGAAATTCATAAGCATGACAGTCTGTACTTTATTTAAGAAAGAGGGACTAGCCATGCTACCCAACAGAATAAAGCTCAGAAAAGTTCCTCATGCTAGGTGTCCTGTTGGGACCTGCTGGACAGTGATCAGAAACTCCCCTGCAAGTGATGAGCCATCCAGTTCCTTGAAAATCGTAGGCCACTAGGGATTGGCCAGCCCAGAACTTATTTTTGCCTCAGTCTTACCTTGGCAGGAAAGATAGGCACCTGTGTCCCTCAGTGTCTTAACAGGTGATTTAAGGTAAACAGCACATCACCCTAAGCTGCTCAGGGAAGGGACTGTTTCCAGAATTACAGTGATGTCCTGGGACTGCCCTGCTTCAAGGTCTTCCTCAAAGGCTTCCTTCTC